CCGGGCACAGTGCGTGGTGAGGGGACCTATGTTCTGGGCCTGCTGAGGGCCAAGCGTGCCAGTAACTCTGGCCAGGTCCCTGTCCGCAGCCCCCTGGGCCCCTGGGTCAGCTCTCTGGGACCTGTTAGGCCGTCTCTGGTTTGATGCCGACCCCACAACATGGGAAGCTCCCTGGAGGCTGTGCAGCTCCTGCTGCTAGGGCGTGTGCAGCACACAGCGGGCCAGGGTGATGGTCCTGCTCCCCGGGAAGCCACATGGACACCTCACCAGAAAACAGTGTTTCACCTTGAGGATGACACGGCTGTCCTCTGACAGAACACACTTCAAGGAGTGCATTTAAACTCCTAAAAAGAGAGGCCGGCTGGCAAGCCTGAGCCCCATGCACTGAAGCCATGGTGGCCTCTGCCTCCTGTCTCTGCTGTGTCTGACTGGGAAGGGGACATGCCCACAGGGAGGAGCAGGGACACGTGCTGCCTCCACCCGGCACAGGTGGCAGGTGCGAGTACACACACACACGTGCACATTCCTGAGTGCCAGACCTCAGCGGGAGAACCCAAAGCTGTGGGGTAGCCATGGGCCTCCCAGCCCTGCATCCTGGCCACCACCCAGATGGGAGCCCCCAGGCTAGCCGACAGATGACAGGGACCTTCTGTTTGGGGGACAGGGATGAAGGACACCCGAGGGGGACGCAGTGCAGTTCCTCTCCTCTTGCAGGTGGGTCTAGGGCACAGCAGGCAGCGTCTCTGCCTCCACAGGGAAGCCAGGAGGTGGCAGAACCTGTGTGCCTGACATGGGGCTCTGTCCTCGGGCCCTCTCTGGTCCCTGGCCCCAGGCCACATGCCCTGGTGAGCTGCCGCTGGGTCCAGAAGGCTGCGCATGGCCATGATGCACTCGGCTGTGACATGGACACTGCTCAACTGACCTGCTATTTCATTAGGCATCTGCTGTGAACCTGTTCAGAACCCAGGGAACTGAGCCACCTTTACAGCAGGTCTTACAAACAGCTCAGTGGTTCACGCCTGTAATCCCAGCACTTTGTGGGGGCGAGGTGGGCGGATCACCTGAGGTCACCAGTTCGAGACCAGCCTGGCCAACATGGTGAAATCCCGTCTTTACTAAACGTACAAAAATCAGCCAGGCATGGTGGCATGTGCCTGTAATCCCAGTTACTTGGGAGGCTGAGGCAGAAGAATCGCTTGAACCTGGGAGGCAGAGGTTGCAGTGAGCC